ATGTGGCAATATTCTATAAGATCTTTGATATGTGTCTAAATTACAAGACACATGTCTTTACTTGTAAGATAAGTTTTTTATATATTCACCACATAGTTAGCTTGTTCTACAGACTACCAACATATGTGACACTTGGCTAATTTTTTGATTAAATTTCTAACCTATCAATCAACTACAAATACATGTAAAATCATTACTGCATCTATAAAGCTTCTAAGAAGCTTTTTCATAAGTTATTATTCAATTAATTTACTTTTACATCTTCTATCTAATGATATAGATAATTATTGGAATATATATATATATATATATATATATATATGTCTTTAATATAAATCTCGATCAAATCTTAAATCTTTAATTAAATTCTAAATTAAATCCTAATCAAATCTTAAATCTTATAAAAAACTTTAAAAAATCCTACAGCAAATTGAAACCTCAATAATTAATAATTTTATTTTAAATTTTAACAAAAAAAAATCACACCTTTCCATAATTTGAAAAAAATAAAACATATCAAACAAAAGATAATTTTTATAATTTGCTTCGATATCAATTGGCGTCCTTCTTTAATCTTGATGCCAATTTTTTATTGTCAATATCTCTTGAATTTACCATCTAATAGATTTCAAACTTTATATATTTTTTAAAAATCAAGTCTATTACTAATGTATAAAATTTTATTTTAGTCCAATAGGCAAAGTGCTAAAATCTTAGAAATCTTCACTAATCCTCTAAATTCCAATTCCTAAAACTTCAATAAACTTCAAATGAATTGTTTGATCAAGCTTAAACTTAATATATATATATATATATATATATGTATATATATATATATATGTATATATATATATGTATATATATATATAACAGTAATATTTATTCAATCACAAAATTTTATTTATAAATCATCTATCAATCTTAGATAATTTTCTAAAGTATAAATTCTTTATATTTTTCAAAATCCAAAGTAACTCCAAAACATTCATAACTTTGTAAAGACTTCATAAACTTAAATCATTAAAAATCAAGGTCCAAAGAACCTTTCATTAATTCCAATGTTATTTTCTAATCAAATAAAGAACCCTAGAATTACCATAATTGCATGACTTTGTATCTTAAATTTTGATTTCAACCTTGGCTCACAATTGATCTTCTCTTAGTATCAATTTTTAGTATCTTAAGATAATTTTTGCATTAAAATATTTTAAAATTTATAATAAAGATGCCCATATTATTTATTTTTTTATCTTTTTTTTTTCTTATTTATAGTTGTACAAAGTAAGTAGAAGCTTTTTTTTTATATAAAAAATAGCATTAATATTAAAAAAGATTATTATCTTTGTAACTTTTCTTTATATTTTGTTATTATATCTTTCAATTAGGTTTGTCTATAATAGAACCTATATTTTTATCATTCATCATATTACAATATAACATCCATTCCTTTTGAACTTATGTATCCTATAATATATGCTAAATAATCCAAATCTTATTTAATTCATATTATACTTTTTATATCTTTATTAAGATATTATTTATCATTTTTTTTATCAAAGTCAAAAGTATCATCTTCTCTTGAAAGATTTATATCTTAAATAAGATCTATATTTATTTTTATATATCTTTGTTTGATTATCTTCACTTGTTTCTCAATAGTTGATATTTTTAACCTTGTTCCATCAAGATCTTATAGTAAATGAGTTTCATTAGTATGAATAATTGTTATCACATATGATTCAAATCAATATTTAAGCTCAATAGAAATAATGCATCAATATATTTCTATAATGCAAATGAAAAAAATTGAGACCATTTAAATACCTTCCTATTACAAGTTTTAACTAATGTTATTATAATTGATGAAGGAATACATTCTTTTTTTGCATTTTCTATTGGATTATATGTAGTAGCCAATGTTAACTTAACTCCATACTTTTTAAAGAAATTACAAGCTTCTTATATATTTAATCTTCTACAATTTGTGGTAACCTCTTTCACACATTCTTAGTTACAAATAACATCTTCAAGCAAAAATCTACAAATTATTTTGAATACTCTACTTTCTTTTTGGTTTGATAAATATTTATAAGCCAAAATCAAATACCTTATTTTTCATAATTTAATTGGCATAATAATCAAATCAATAATCCATTTAAAATAAATAGCCAAATAATATGTTGAATGTAAACCATCTTAATGTTATGTATTAGAATATGTTTGACAAGTTGTATATAATTCTATATATAAAATTATATTATAATATATACTTTTCTACCAATATTATTCTTTAAGTTTAGCAAAAGTAATCTAAATCTCTCTATGTCATACCCATAAATTGTTGTGAAATTATTTTAGTAATTTTTGTTGTTTTTTTAAATTGCTTGTGACTCATTGTGGCATCTCATTTCTTTAATTTGATCTCTTCCATAAAAAACTTTTGAAGCCAAAATCCAAATATATTTTTTTTAATTTGTCTAAATTTTTTATGAACCAATTTTTTTATTTAATCAAGATATTTAAGTAAAAAATTAATATTTAATAATTCTCTTTTATAAAAATATTCAAAAAATAACTTTTCTTTTTCATTAAGTTTTAAAAATTAATAGAATTTATTCTAATATCATCAATATCTTTAATTATCTTGCATCTCTATCATATCTTGCTCAAGACAACATATTTGCTATTAAATTGTCTTTTCTAGCAATACACTTTAATTTTAGAGTTAATAATTTTATATAAATAATCCATCTTAGCATTATAACGTATAATATTGAATAATTAGTAATCATTCTAAGCAATGGAAAGCAATCTATTTCAACTACTATTATTGCAAAAATCAAATCTTGAGGCACAAAACCATGCATTTACAGTAATTTTGGAGTTTTTGAATTGATCAAAGAACAGGGTTTGAAAAAAAAACTTATGAATGGTCCTTTGGACATTAAATTTGATTGATTTTAATTTGTAGTGACTTTAAAAAAAAAATTAAAGTTAGGGTTGTTTTAGAAATAACTTGAGATTTTGAAAAATACAAAGAATTTATATTCTGGAGCATTTTGTGAGATTGGTAGATGATCTATAAGTAAAATTTTGTGATTATGTAATGAATGTTGTGTCATATTTGTATCATAATTTTGAACTTGATTTAATGATTTATTTAAAATTTATTAAAATTTAAACATATTGGAATCTCAAGAATTGGAATTTAGAAGACTAATGAAGGTTTTTAAGATATATAGCAATCTATTAGTTGGATTAAATTTTTTAAAATTATAATAGTATTTGGCTTGATTTTTAATAAATTTGTAAAAATTAAATGCAATCAAACAATACAATTTAGAAATATTGGTGCTAGAAGATTGGCACTAAGGTTGAAAAAGGAGGTTGGCCAATACGGAAGCAAATTTTAGGATTTTTCTTGTGTTTGATAAATTTGATCTTCTTCAAATTCATTGTATTTTTTTTCAATTTATTAATTGAAAGATATGAAAATTTTGAGTTAGATTATTAATTATTAAAATTTTAATCTATGAATAAGATTGTTAAAGATTTTATTTAAGATTTAAGATTCAATTAATGTTTCATTAAGGTTTGATTTAGGATTTAAGATTTAAGATTTAATTAGGATTTGAGTAAGATTTAATTTAGGATTTAGAATTTGATTAGGATTGAATTAAAGTTTCATTAGAATTTGATAAAGAATACATTAGGATTTTGTTAGGATTCATTTAGAATTTATATTTTTAATATTTTAAAAATATTTCTTTGATATTTTTTTAGGATTTTTATTTTATTATTTATTTTAGGACTTTTTTATAAATATTTATTTAAGATTAATTTATGATTTTTTATGATTTTTTTGTAATTTCTTTAAGACTTCTTTTAAATTTGATTAGCATTATTAAGATTTAATTAGAGTTTATTTAAGATTATATTACAGTTATAAAGACCTTTTTCTTGCAATTTCCATTTTACCTTACACAACCAAGTGCATAGTGCAATCTCAAGCAAACTTCACAAAATATAACACAATAAACCAACAACTAGAATATAGAACAAAAAAAGGCTCCAAAATCTTTATTTACATCTTTTCTTTCAATACTTCTACTAATATAGGCAAGTGTGCCCTTTATACCAGAATTGGCTTCAAGTTCCAAAGCACATGCGGTATTGTGAAGATAACCATAGGAACTACAATATAAGGATCCACACATCCTATCTCATGAGGTTCAAAGACAAATGATTTACCTCGTTTTTAAATTTGTACACCACATATAAATATGTTATAAAAATGTAATAAACTATAAATCATCCAAAAAAAGAAAATTCTTAAAATTTTGAGAATTATTAAGAATTTTCTCTTTAAAAAAATATAATATTTTGAATTTAAGAAAATTATATTTTTTTTCATCAAGTCCTTTGTATAAACCCTCTATGTATACTATGAATTTATCCAGATTTCTATTTAAAAATTTAATCTAAATTTTTAAAATTAAAGTTCTAAAATATATCTATAAAATATATTTTAATTTAATATATATATATATATATTATAATGATTCTTTATTTAACTTTATAATGTGTACTTTAAAATATTTTTAAAAAATTCTATGATACTTTATATTTATGTTATATTTATAGTATTTTTGTTTAACTAGATGGAATTTAGACTTAATGCTTTTATTTATTTGTGTTATGTATTGAAATTTTAAGATTTCAATACTAATTAACTAATTTTGATATTCTTGAAATGTTGATTATCAAGTTGAATGAGAAATTTGATCTTCTAATTTTAGTTTCCATACTCTGTTTGTTTGTTTTTTGAAATCAAAATAATTAAATAATTAAATAAAATCCTTACTACCTGTCAAATATTCAACTTTGATCATATAAAGAATATATCGAATATGCTGATGTAGAACTACAACCTACTGGCATTGTTAACTATGAAATCACTATATATATATATATATATATATATATTTAAAGTAAAAATAAATAAAAGTAAAGCCACTAACTTTAATGTAATTTTGAAAATAACTTTTGGGTTAGGAAGATGAAACTCATAGACTTGGGCTTCTTTTCTACAGAAAATTAGTTTTAATAACTAATATATTTACTAAATGCCAATTTGACGTACTAAGTATTTTTCTTCCTTGGTCACATGACAATCTATTAAAATACAGCACCTATAAACGGACTTATTTACCAACACACACACAAAAAAAAAAAAAAAAAAAAAAAAGGTTAAAGCGTGAAGCGTTACATCAGATGCTATTATCCGTGTACATTCCACGAACAATGAAACATAACAATGTTACAAAAACGTTCATTCTTACAGTAATGAAGTGCAAAAATGCTTCTAAAAAGGCAAAATGAGAATGAAGATGAAAATCATGTTATGATCGGAACTACGCTGACAAGGCTGGTGTCGGTGGAGGCACGTTGATGTCGGTATCCATTCTTGCATTAGACACAAGGGCATCTAGCGTTCTGTTACGGCGACCAGTGAAGAACTCCCTCGCGTCTCGACGTCATCAAGTCACTAGCAGGCAAACCTGCAGTAAATCTTTGCAAGCTTTGCCTTGGAAAGCCTTGCAAGCAATTATCTTCGAAGCAGCAGAAGCAGAAAATGGGATTGGAAACTACGCCAACAGACAGTAAACACAGTTGAGATGTGAATATGGATTGAAAGAATCGATCATTCGTTGTCAGTTTTCTGTGTTGTCAGGAACGTGTCGACCCCCACTCATGAGTCTGCTTCTCTCAGCACTCAGTCATCATCACTGTCGTCCATGTCCGCCATGTCTTGCATCATGCGGCTTTCCCACATGGCTGTCTTGATCTGTCGGAGCTCTTCGATGTCCTGCCACAGGCGGCTGCTGGCAACCATCTTGTGCTCCGCTAGCTGCGCACGGCAACCTGCAAGTCCCCCCCACCGCAATCAACTCATTGTGACCATATTGAGACATCCACAAGGTTGTGAGTACTGATGGATCCATTTCAGCGTTTGTTGTCGCACATGCACCCTTGTGGAATCGGTTTGTGTACCTGAAGATGCGCAAAGGCAGACGCCGTCTTTTGCCATGGTTGTAATGTAGTTGAGAGCTGAAGCCCGGTCGTAAATGTGTTCACAGTCTTCACTGCATCGAAAATGAAGCAAAAGTCTGATTAGTCTCCCGATCTGATTTGGGAATGAACTGAATATTGTAACCAAAATCTTGACATGGATTGGATAAAACTGCAACCTGCGAACTGGGTCTTCTAGATCAGTTACAGGTATCCCACTAACAGGGCAGACGATGTTGAGTACAGAATAAGAGTGTGTCGCATGCGCATCATCATCATCTCCCTCGTCTATTTGCTTCCCCGCTTTTCGGCAACACTGGCACTCATACCCAAGACGAGTAGTCGGTGAGATATTCTAAAACATGTTCATACACTAAACTTTTGAGCAACCCTTCACATCACTTTTTACGAACCCAAGTGGGAGCTTGATCAATCTAACCCCCCCGTGCTTTGCATGCACATTGCAGAGAGACGACCAACTGAATCTTAGATAAAGAAGAATCTTTGTGGAATTCTTCGAGTTATGGATTTGAAATAAAATTCGTGAGCCTCACATGGAACTCTTCGCTGCTCTCACGGTCGGTGTGCTCTTGAAGCTCCAGCAATCCAACATCTTCAGCCAGAGTCTTAATTTCATTTCTAATGTTCGGGAGTAGAGGTAGTTGCTTCAGACAATCTCGCTGGGTTGAATCCGAACTGCAAATTGCGACGTCTGCAAGGCTGTTGATCACACCATCTATGGTGGCTATTACGGAATCCGCTTCGACTTGATCTTTGTCAATTGCGTGGATTTCAGATGCGTCCCCTAATGCGCAACACGCGTACATCTTTTCCTCCTCCTCTAGGCGCTTCTTCAACTCCACAAATTCTGAATGCTTCCTAGCCCTGGCTTCATCATCCTCCTCCACATCCACCCCCTCCAGAACAAACTTGACGTGAAGGTCTTGCAGAAATTTCTGTTGCCGCTCATCGAGGTCATGAAGCAACTTATTCACGAGTGCTGATTTCCGATCTGCTCCTGCTCCTTCTAGACCCTTAAGCTTCTCACGTCTCCCGGTCCCCATGTCTTGCTCGCTCGCTCTCTGAGTTCCTGAGTTTTGGTCAAAGACGATCTCCACGTCGTCGGCCACAATTTCCTCTTCGACTCTATTATCCTGCTTGATGCGAGTGTGATCCACCTGAACCAGGGGGTTGGAAATCTGAAAACACTTGCGATCATGCATGATGTGATCACCCTCCTGTGGGGACTCTTCCAACACCGCATTCGGGTCTTTTGATTCTTCTGATTCTTGTGCCAGAAGGCTCGTGAGCAAAGCCTTGTCGTCCTCCTGTACCAACCGTAACATCTGAAGTCCATCCAGATCTTGCTCCAGCCTGTCTGTTTTTGTCTCCTTCTGGTTCAAGTCCGTGACGCAATTCTCCATCTCTCCACACACATTCCCCATTTCTTCGCTCAAGTCCTCCATAATATTCAGCAGAGTACATACAAATTAGATCATTCTTGCATCCCAGTCCATTACACCTAGGTTGTCTCCATTTTAACACTAAACATACTTGATAGCTGCATACGATGGTGCCTTACGTTAATGCCAATATCATGAAAGTGTCAGATGAAAGGGGGGAGGAAGAATGAAAAAATCAAAACCAAACGTTGAGAAAGTTACACAAACGGATCGACACTGTATTGTGTAAACTTGTCAGAGTTTTAGTATTAGCACAATTCAAGGGGAAAAACCAAATCGTTAGAAACCCATGATAAGTTTGTGTCAAGTTAAGACACGCTACCGTGGTAAATCTGCGCATTCAAGAGGGAACTCATCTTCCAATATCGAGAATATGACAAAACTATACCTACCGAAGGTGCTTTAGTTTTACAATACAAAAACAATCACTCTACGAGCTCACAATTGAATTTTATTTTAACTGATTCTCCAAGTTCATTCAGTATCACCCTCGACGAGCAACTCTGAAACACAAACTCGCATGGAAGTCGACATAATGTGTGCGTCTTCGTGGAAATGGAGAGGAGATGAGGACAGTAAAATTAGCGAGCGAATAAGACTGCGAGTTCTGAAAATAAAATCACAAGCGAAAATCACTAAAAGAACCAAAAAACTAAAAATAACATCATGGAACTGTGCAGGAGGTTAAGTTAGTCAGATTCAGAAAGACGCCAAGGCTAAGAGCTTGTAATGGACTCAGGGAAGTGAAAAAGAAGAGAAAGAGGTGCCATTGAGGCAGTGTCTATTGGAACCCAAGAGACTGTCGGTCACAACCGCTATACCACACAGAAGAAGGATACAGTTCCATGACCCCTGTCCCACACCCCATTCGTTTGCGACGGCGATTATACTTTCCAAGTACCCCAATTTCAAGTCAAAGCTCATGCCTCTCACTCTCTCGCGTTGTTTGGGTGGTTCATGAACCCTCAACAATCTCTGTGCTCCTCGCTCTTCATACGTGGGCTCTCCCTCTCACAAGGTAATCTAGCAATGGTCGTCTTTCCACAAACTGCAGTAGAGAAGATCCTCTATCAAAAACAGTGAAGCTTTCCCAATTGGAAAACTTGGTAAAATTTCGAATAGCTTCGTATCACTGACTCAAGAGAGGGACGATCGTAAAAATAATCCTGTTTCGTGTCCTCCTCTTCATCCTCCAATGCTTGAGAGTTTTCCATGAGATTCTATTACCTCCGAAACTCCTCTAACATCAATCAATTCCCAAGCTTGGGATCCAAACACCACACACGAACCCACATCATCAATCCTCAGAGAACACCAAAAGAGGCACTGATGCTTTCTCGACTGATGTCGTCCACCATAGACTATTGCAATTTCGGACTTGAACTGGGTGTGATCAAACGTAAGAGGGAATACTTTTTGAAAAATCCAATCGCCATGCCAAAACCCACATTTGACCTCACATCCACTCTGTGTCGCACAACAAGTAAGCTTCTCCAGAATGAAAAACTGTGACCTAGAGTGCCGCATTGGAGGCAAATGATGCTGTTACTGCTGCTGAATTTGCAATTTCAAATTGCAGGTAAATTGGACAATGAATCTCCAATGTTTGCTAATGCCTAACCCACAATGGCCAAGTCCCCTCCGCCGAATTCCATCCAAATGTCTGCAGTGCTCGATCACCGTGGTTCAAATGTCATTCCACATGATTTAATTTCGTCGCTTGACAGAGAATCCAACTTGGTGAATTTAAAGGTGGGATACAACAAAGCAGAGCTTGAATTATCCCCCGGTTACGAGTTGCCGACTGCCCCCACTAAATGGTGATCATCTCTCAGATAAATCTTCGCTTGGTTCCCACAAGGAAACAGACTTCGTGTCAGCAATGTGCATCAGCAGCAACTTGCGGACATGTTTGTGTGGGAGAGCGCAGAATGGACGTGTTTTGAAAGACCACCGCTCAACCTGACGACAGAGAGCGGTTTTGGTGATGGAACTATTGGAAAGATTGTTTTCACACTTCAAGATAGATGGGAATTTGTAAGAAAAAGAAACGCAACCATGCCGACTTCTAGCCCATCTCTGAAAACCTCTCATGTTAGACAATGGGATTCAAAGATACATTTTCAAAAAAATAGCTTCCTGTGGATTCAATTTCAACAACACATATTTCAGTAAACACAGATGTGAAGAATGCTCGAACAATGTCATTCAACAGGATTGTAAAGAGGAACTGTTTGAAATCTACTCCCTGAATTTAAAAGAGCGGAACCGACTTCAATTTGTATTTTCTTTTGATTGGATTGAAACCCTACTGTACTCAAGATGTTTTGAAAATGTGCCCACACGCACGCACACACACATTTACACTTGAATTTTTCCTGCATTTTTTATGGTTGGTGAACCCGTCTGTTGTGAAAGTTAGGAAATACATAGAAACTCTAACAAACTGCAACTAGGAATTTTTGCTTTTCACTAGGTTCAAGTTGTCCAAGCCCAGACAACACACCGAGAGTAGCTGTTGAAAAAAAACCAGAGGTTAAGTACACAACCCAGAACTCAAAACAAGTTGAAGGAGTGATTCAAGCCATAAAAGCTAGTGACAACAAAGATCAAAAGAAGGGGAAGCTAACTGTTTGCGTCTTACAACACGTCACTGAGGACGTGAGGGATGTTTACACTCTAGGGAAGAAGTTGGGTGCTGGAAATTTCGGCATCACCTATTTGTGCACCGAAAAGAGCACCGGTGATGATTATGCTTGCAAGACTATTTCGAAGAAGAAGCTTAAGTCGAAGGACGATGTTGCAGACGTTCGGAAAGAGCTCCAAATCATGCATCATTTATCTGGTGAACAGAACACGTGACCTCATTTAATAAACAATGTTGACTATACCCTACAAGCACATTATATTTCAATCACATCATATCGACAATTCGAATCATAACTGATGATAAATCAGCTTTTTGACATTGAACTCGCGCAGGTCATCCAAACATTGTGGCTATCAAAGGTGCATTTGAAGATGAGGCGTCTGTGCACTTCGTTATGGAGCTATGCGCTGGTGGCGAACTCTTCACTCGCATCACTGAGAAGGGGCATTACAGTGAGGCAGCTGCAGCTTCTGCGATGAGAACCATCGTCAGCGTGATAGAAACTTGCCACATTTTGGGTGTCATACATCGCGATTTGAAGCCTGAGAATTTCCTTTTGCTGAACAAGCGGGAGGATTCACCTCTGAAGGCAACGGACTTCGGGTTGTCCACGTTTTTCAAACCTGGTGAAGTGTGCAAAGATGTGGTGGGAAGTGCATTCTACGTTGCACCAGAGGTTTTGAGAAGGAAGTATGGACCCGAATCCGACATCTGGAGTGCAGGCGTGATCCTGTACATTCTGCTCTCAGGAGTGCCGCCGTTCTGGGCAGACACAGAGGATGGCATCTTTGCCGAGGTGCTGAAGGCGAAAGTGGACTTTGACACGGACCCATGGCCTAAAATATCCAAAGATGCAAAGGATCTCATTCGAAAGATATTGAACCCAGATGTTAAAGCGAGGCTTACAGCAAGTGAAGTATGGGTCCAAAACGCATACGAAGTTGTAAAATGTAATTAAATCGCAGATGCAAATGTTTATGCATTCTGTAGACTCTCCCTGACAAAACATAACAAATATATATATATATATATATATATTAAACTACAGGTGTTGGCGCATCCATGGGTACGAGAGAAAGGTGTGGCATCAACGAAGCCCATGGACTCCTCGGTGCAGAACCGGCTCAAGCGCTTCGCGGCGATGAACAAGATGAAGAAACTGGCAGTGCGCGTGATCGCGCAGTCGATGTCGGAGGAAGAGATCGCGGGGCTGCGCAACATATTCAAGATCATGGATGTAGATGGGAGCGGCACTATCACGTTTGAGGAGTTGAAGCAAGGGCTACAGAAGGTGGGGTCCAACATGAGGGAGGCGGACGTGCGCGACCTGATGGACGCAGCGGACGTAGACAAGAACGGGACGATCGACTATGGGGAGTTTTTGGCGGCGACGATCAACATGAACAAAGTGGAGCGCGAGGAGAACATGCTGGCGGCGTTCCGGTACCTGGACAAGGACAACAGCGGGTACATCACGGGCGAGGAGCTGCAGAATGCGTGCGCGGAGTTCAACATGGGTGAGATGAACCTGGAGGACCTGATGCGCGACGTAGATCTGGACAACGATGGCCGCATCGACTACCAGGAATTCGTGGCCATGATGCGCAAGGGCACGGGCACCGCGCCCCCGCAGCGCGGCGCCCGCATGGAGCCCTCCTTCGGGTTCTCCGCCGCCCTCCAACTCTGACCCTCTCCACGTTCATCCCTTTTCCAACACTAGTTCTAATTCTAATGCATGTCCCACATATTATATCGCAATTACAGATTAATAGTATCTGGGTACTGTGGTCAACTACGTTTTGTCTAGAATAAATTTCAAAACTTATTTCCTGATTGGGTAGTTCGGAATTCACGCCCTTGTGACAGTATGAAATGAAAATTGAAAACAACTTCATCAAGAAAACAAAACATTTTCATCGTCTGTATGTAAAAATAGATTTTCATTTTCAAGGTCTAATTACACCTTGGATCGAGTAAAGGTTCACAAATCCCGGAGACTGTTCTACAAGCCAAGTGGCAATGTCCACGCTTTTCGTGAATAGAGTAAATATATATATATATATATATATATATACTTAGTGACGCGGTATTATCCGCTTGTGTGGACCAATCCTCCTCATTCCTTTTGCTTTCTTCATGTAAATCATTAATTTATTTTCGTACATTGATCTTTCCACGAAAATCCACAAATTAAAGACTGGAGGATATGGAGAAATCGAATTGATCTCCAACCGGGCTTGTGCTTCCAGGATCCATCCACGAAGAGAAAGTTCCGGGGCCTTAATACCGCCACGAGCTTTCCGTCCGTCGGGAAGGTACATTTATCTTCAAATAGAAGAGACATTCGTCCATTTGATGCCGAGGATCCGATGGTCTTGTGGATGTTTGCATGAGCTCAGCCTGGCGTGCGGAGTGGCAAGAATCGCCGGATCCTTGCACAGCATCTGGGATCCTATTTTCGCCCTAGTTAGCATCGTTGAGAATCGCCATGAAGCTATCGCTGCTTCCGTGTGGGCCACGCCATGAAGCTCAGATCATCTGGACAATACTCAGAGGTGTGGTGTTAGGGGAGTACTGGCTCAAAAGGAACGCGAAGGTTTTCAACCCCGAAGACTGGGCTCTTGAGCAAATTACAGAAAGATCATGGAAAGGCCATGAAGGCTATGGTCGCCTAGAATGGAAAAACATAACACACGCCTAGGCTGATGATGAACCAGCCTATTTCATCTTCGATCATTTTGACAAAACCTGGGGTCCCAATAACCTGCTCTGTACTAGAACAGGAACTGGAATACAATGGCTTAGTTGCAATAATAGACGTACATTATATATATATATATATATATACATATACATTAAAATAAAAAAAATAAAAAAGGTCCTACTTAAAGGTTGTAATATATCCCACTTCGACTCACTGGTCCAGTCTCGCCAGGCTGGGGGTTCTTTTACTCTATTTTAGCCTGGTTATGTATTAGTCACTCCCTGCAATGAAATCCATTTCATATGTGCCAAAAACAAAAAAGCAGAAAAATCCCTCATCCTCGTGCAAAATGAATGATACCGACTCCCTTCCCTGTGGCTGATCATTATCAGTGAATTTTGGTAGATACCGAGAATAGGCAACTGAGGTGGGCTTCATCATAAAATCCACCCCATGGCGATAGCACCTGGATTTCGCCATTGATGCCGCGCGACGGCGAACGCGTGAATTTCTTTCCGACGAGTACAAGTGTCGGGTTTTTTTTATTTTTTTATTTTTTTATTTTTAAGAGTTCGTCCGGCTGAGATTGTGGGATCGATGTCGTGCATGGAGGCCGGCACTTGGCTTAAAGTGATGCCCCACAGATCCACCCCCTCAACCAGGCCCCAGCATAAAAGCACATTCATCAGAGGTAAATTGAGCTGGAAACTCAGTTTTTTCCGCTGTCGTTAATTGAATTTCGGAAGTATTTCAGACAATTCTATCTCAACGGTTAAGCTCGGCAACGGATACAGATCCCTCTTTAGAATGTAACCCTGAAGAGGTGGAGAAGTTTAGGCGCGATGGAGCGGAACAACCATTCCGCTTGGGTCCTGCTGTAACTCATTATTCTTCACTGCAAATTTGCCACGAAGACTAGTGGATCTCACACTCACGTTGAAATTATATGATTGACTTGCCTCGTGAAGTCGAAACAAGTTAATATTAGAGTTATTAGAGGGTTTTACAGAAATATGGAGCTTGTGTTAAAAGGTCAAAAGCAATTTATGACTTGTATGCAACTATTCGTTGTTGGGTTGTAAGCAATGTACCAAGATTAGCCACTAAGAAATTTAAGAATTTTTAACAATATTGATTACAAAAATGTAGAGTTAATTTTTGCTCAAGGTGGAAGACCATATTTTTTTGAAGTAGATGATGAAATAGTAAAAAAATAAATGTATATAATATATATATATATATATGTATATATTATTTTAAAAATAATAAGTAATGAAAATTTTCTTTTTAAAAAATAAGTCTTTTAAAATTACTTTTGAATATTAACATGCTCAATTAAAATAAAGTATAAGTATTACACAAATAATATTCAAATTATTTAAAAGAAGAAATTTCTGTAATAATTTTTTTTTAAAAAAAATGATTAAAACAACACAAGCACTTGATAAAATTAGGTTGTACTTAGACAAATATGAACTTCAATAAAATATCCTAGAATTTTATCCCCGATACAATCTATAATTTAAAATCTAATTAGAATAATTAGATATTTCTTATTTAGTATAAATTCTAGATTTTAAATTGCTATTAATTTTACACAAATAAATAAAGTAATAAAGTAATAAAAAAAGTATCATAATTTGTAATTTCTTTCCAATTACACATAAGTAATGTCTTTGTGAAGAACACAATTTAGAAGAAGATGCATAAACTCATAGAATTTGAGTTAAAAAGAAAGTGACAAAATAGAAGAAAGTATGTATATTCAAGGATGAACTGGAATGGCTATTGCCATAGATTAGAAAACATAAGACTCTTGAAACTAGACTAAAAGCAAGAAAAGAGTTGATAAGAGTGAAGAAGGCTTCACTCTTGTCTCTATATATACTATCTAACTACGGGCTACATGGCAATGTTCTATAGGGCCTCCAATATGTTTTGACTTTGTAAGACACATGCCTTGATTTACAAGGCAAGTTTTTCTATGTGTAGGCCAAATAGTTAGTTTAGTCTTCAAGCAAACAACATGTGTGGCACATGGCCAACTTGTTGACCATATTTCTAACCCAAAAAGTCAATTATAGACACCTATAAAATCAAAGCAGCGTCTATGAAGCTTCTATAGAAGATATTATAGAATTAACTTATTTTTATTTACTTCTATTTACTTCTATCTATTTATACAAGTAATTACTAGCTTACATATATATGTCCATGACATTACCTCCTCTTCTAGGGACGAGTTCTATGAGAAGCAGTCATCATATGTTGAGAAAATCTATGATGTGACAAATTGTATTTGCCACATACTCAGATCTTTGTTTTCTTCAAAGATGGTTGATAGGGCCTCTCAACCATCAATAGTGTCTCATACCAAGGCAAGAAGACTATCCTGTTATTTGATCATTGTTGAGGCCTTCACAACTTCCTTCAAATAAAATATTTGGAACACTGTCAGGAATTGTTCCTATTTTTAATAAAATTACCAAACATTAGGCAAGTTAGCAAACAAAGGCTTTTCAATTAAATCCATTGATTGTTGATTTTCTCTCTCTTCAATGTTACAAATACAAAAAAGCTACAAACAATAATTGAAAGTAAAATGTTATCTTGCCTAGATCTTGTTTCTTTTATAAGGAAGGTCTTCATCTTAATTTTGATGGATGTTGTTGATAAAAAAACTTCTACCTTCTTTGTTGCATTTGCAAGATTCTTTAATGGCTACCATGCATGTTTGCTAATATTGTATCCATGCCAATGAACAAGGTATTCCAACCTATTTCAACACTGCCTTGAATCATGGACTTCTTTTACCTCAAATTCTTCATTATTATTTAATTCTATAGGAAGAGGTGGCACTTGTCTTTTTCTTGATATGTTCACGTTCTTGTATATTTCAAGGAGAGACTTATGGAATACGGGATGAATCTTCATTGACTCTAGTCAGTATAATCAATACGCAACTGGATTGACTTATTTAGAAATAAAAAAAGGTCCAAGTCTATCATAATCCAATTTGTCACAAAGACCAGTGGTCTTGATATTGCGGCAAAGTAACCATACTTTGTCGCCTTCATTGAATTGTGGTTGTTCCTTACAATAAAGATTCGCATTGATTTTTTGTCATTCTTGAGCTTCTTTTAACTGCGCCTTTATTGTTGCATGTAGCTTTGACAAATAATTTGCCAAATCTCCCGCCATAGGATTATCAGCTTCTGAAAAGTCAAAAGTATCAAGTTGTGGATGATTACCATAATTGGCAAAGAAAGGTGTTTATTTTGTAGAAGAATGTATTGTGCTATTATAAATAAACTCTGTCAATGGCAAAAGAGTTGTTCAATCATCTTATTCGAAATTGATGGTACAACTTAAATACTGCTTCAAAACTTGATTAACACGCTCCATTTATCCATTAGTTTGAGGATAGAATATTGAAGATAGTTTTATATCCACTTTTAGAATTTTGAAAAGAGACTGCCAAAATCTTGATAAAAACTAAGTTCCGCTATCTAATATAATATCCTTAGATAATCCATGATAACGATAGATGTTGTCAAAAAAGAATTTAGCTATTTCTTCACTTATGATAGATTTTGTATATGGTACAGAATATACCATCTTAGTAAAATGATCTACTATCACAAATATAAAGTCATAAGAATCTGAGATTGGAAGATCTGTGATGAAATCCATAGAAACAAAAGACTATAGTTGTTCTCGAATAGGTAATGGTTAAAAAAGTCCGTAAAGTTGATGACAAGGAGTTTTTGATCTTGAAAAATGCATGAATGAACAAATTCTTTCACACCCTTCTACATTTGTGACCACCAAGAATCTTTAGATATAAGCTCCATAGTCTTGTTGTATCCAAAATGTCTTACTATTAGAAAGTCATGATGTGCTTGAAGTACACATAATCGTGCTTTTTCTTTTCGAACATATAATTGATCTTCAAAATAGAGTAGGTTATTTTTGAATCCAAACTTAAAAGTATCTTCAGACTTAGAAGAAGGATTCTTAATATTTTGAACAAGAGGATCAGAAAACATACTTCATTGGATTTTTTTCACTAAGATTGAATCAATAGTCAATGTTGATTTAATTACTCAAAGATGAAAATGTTGTGGTTTCAAGATAATCATTCTTTACTGATCAAAAGATGAATCTCTTTCTTTTGGTGCAAGATACAAATGACTAAAAATAACATCAGATAAACCTTATTATTTATTTAGCCAATAAGTAATATTGAACTCGAATCTTGACAAAGATATGCTCCAACGAGCCAAGCAACGATCCAAAATACATGTTGACATGAAATACTTGAGGTCCTTTTGTTCCATATATATGACGATTGGACTTGAAGCACATTCTAAATAATGATGCCATTCTTGAGTAGAATCTACGATTGCAAGAAGTTTCTTGTCGTAGATCTCATAATTAATCTTAGCTGTTGAAAATTTTCTTAAATAAAAACTTTTGGATGAAGTTTGTCATCTACTCCTATTTATGATAAGACTGCACCCAAGGCAAAGTCAGATGCATCTGTCTCCATAAAAAATGCTTTTGAGAAGTCGATGCAATGTAGAATTGGTGAAAAAATAAAAGCTTTCTTCAAAGCTTCAAATGATGCTTCTACTTCTTTACTCGTCTGGAATTTGTCTTTATAAGTAAAGCATGTAAGTGGCAGTACAACTTAAGAAAAGTTCTTAATGAAGATCCAACAATAATTAGCAAATCTCAGAAAACATTGTACATCTCTTATTTTTTTCAAAATCTTCTAATCTATGATTGTGTGAACTTTTTTAGGATCCATCATTAGACCATTGTTTGAAATGATGTATCCTAAGAAGTCAACTTGAGTAGTGTAGAATATACACTTTTCCATCTTGTCATATAATCCTCCATCTCTAATTTTTTGTAACACATGATATTGTATTATAATTACTTATAGTATGTAAAAATTAATTAAAACATATAATATATTTATAAGTCATTGTGCATGTTAGAATGGTTAATAGATTAATTTAAAGAGAGTAGATATAAAAAACTTTATTTAGAGTTTTATCTATATTGATTATAGAATTTAAAAAAATTATAAGATCTAAATGTTTAGTATGAAGCCTTGATAAGAGATTAGAGCCTAAAGCAAACATAACTTAACTAGAAGGAGGATTATTGGGAGGGATGAAAGCAAGG